TGGGCATTACCTTGGGGTATCTATGCGGAGATGCTGAAATTCCCGCTGGCGCCAGATAGGGGCTGAATCTTTCGCCAAGGGGTAGAGGTCGGCGTGGCGTCTAACGAACCCGATCGCGGAAGCGCTGGCTAGCTAGGAAGAATCCTGAGGAAAATTGCAAGTCCCCATGCAGAGTTTCATACGGCGCTTCGTTCGCCGAGCTGATTTTTCCGATAATAATAATCGCGAGGTCGCGACGGCGGACATATATCTCCGTTTGAGAATTATCGTTTATGGAACGGAAGTAAGATCGGGTTTTGCGCGACGGAACGGCAATGATTTTACGATCGCCGAAGAGGCGAGGCGGTTCCGGACCATTTGGAATGTGCTCGTGAAATATGCTTCATCCTAAAGCATTCGCGTAACTACGAGTCCACAGGTGTCAAAGATCGCGGGAATTCCGGCGATGATAGAGACGAGTTCAAATCCGAAAGGTCGAGATCACACGAGGTGCGATAAACGCGAACGTTAAGCCTCAGATATATGAAAAGTAAAATAGGGATTTTTTTACGACTGACTTTTACCAGAAGAGCTTTCGTAATTCTCATCGCCGGCGCGTTAAATAAAATTACTCACGTTAACTTCCAGACGATAATATCTAACGTATTCAAATGAAAATATCGCGCGCACATGTCAAAATTCCTTTTCCACTTTTTACTAGCAGTTAAGTGTCACGCAACTATTTGCTTGGCGTTCTATCGTTCTTAAAAAGTTAATAGATCCATAAAAGTCGGCGAGTTACTGCAGTTTGTAATTATCCATAAATAATACAAAGTCTGAGTTAAACTTTAAGTCTGCGTAGTCGTGCCAAAATGAAGAAAATAAACAAAACTGTTTAACCATCGGACGGATTGTAAGACGATTGTAAAATTCTGCCCAGCCAAGCAAGAAGCCGATTTCTCCTCGCTATTAGATGACACGAATGCTTCAGTCGACGACGTGTTTCCAAGATTGATTCCCAAACACGCAGGGAACGAGGACATTGCGATAGGGCTAAGTTGCATCATCCAAAAACAGTAACAATGTCACCCAGGGGGGCCCCTGGAACCAAACCGGTAACTTTACATCGTGCACGTCCGCCCGCGACTCACTCTCAACTTCCACTTCCACATGAAGGAATTCTAGTTGGAAACGTGGAATCTCGGGTACGCCAGTACGAACGACGGGGAATGGTTCGAACCGCTGGAACTGCTTGGTGTTCCCGCAAGCAGTATCCCCTTTTATTCCCCGGGAGATTTTTGCGAGACCTCACTTCGACTGCACTCCATCCGGAAGCTCCTTTCTCATCCTCGAGATAAGGCATCTCAATTTCAGCGGCTCCCACCCCGTCTCACACCACCGCCACCATCAGGCGCCTTCTTCGTCCGCCATTCACTTCCTCGTTCTCCACCTACACATCCTCCATTTCCACCTCTCCTCTTCTGCGGGGGACCGTCTTTAACTCGATATATAACCGAACCCGCAAAATATCGATCCCGGCAATTGCTGATTCGTTGCCGATGTGCTCGGCTGGTACCGAGCGGCGTGACCCCTTGGCCGAGAAAACAGGGTTACCTGGCTTTCTCGAAGGAGAATCGCGACAGTCGTCTTTAAGAATCGGACGTGAGAAATAAAGCGTTCGGCGTGTTTTGCCGAGGAGCTCAACGGGGCAAATTCAATTGGATAACTTTGTCAACCTGGCGAATAGACGCTTGAGAATGGAGATATATCTTTCGTTGAAGAGATACTCTTTACAAGAACGCTGAGATTTTATTAATAATGAATTCCCTATTCCGCCGGACGTGCGGATGTTCGCGCGGTGTATGCTTCTAGAGACGCGAAAAGCGCCGATCTTTATCGAGAGATAGTTGCGCAGGAGTAACTTGCGTCCGTAAGAAATTTCTTTACGTAATACTGCGAGAACTCGCTAACATCGCCAACTGATTGCACTTCCTCAGCCTTTAAAGGCGGATCCTTTAAAGTCTCTTTGAATGTCGGTATAATTAGAATCCTTTCTCTATTTCTATCTCTTTCTCTTTCCTTCCTCCCTCCCTCCCTCTTACCCTCCTCTCACTCTCTCTCTCTCTCTCTCTCTCTCCCCCTCTCTCACAAATCTATAGGGGCTTTCGATTTTTGCTATTTCTTTTCCATTGATTTTCATCTCAGAGGCTACGCTGTGAAATATTCGATAAAGCGCATCTTGCGTAGCAGACCATATCGCGACTTTATCTGTGTAATATCAACTACACAATTTCAGCTATGCATTTGTGCATACACACGTAATTAGATTCTCCTCAAAATTACGATAGTTAATACAAGACTCGCATAATAATAAATGCAATAAATCTCATTGTGTTTTGGCACAGCAATATAATAGTCAGGGATTGTAACATAGAATGTAGTTGCACTCGAGTACTATTACCAACTATACCGATCCCATAGGATTTCCAGTCAGGCAAAGTTATACTTTAAACTCAACGGATACGCGCGAAAGCAAATTTGCTGTATATGTAAATTCAATATCGGTGATATCAATTGGAGCGCTGGAGATGAGGTGAGCTTTTTACATTTACGCAACGTCACGTGCAAATTAACACAAGTTAACACAACTAACGTAAAGTAAATTCAGGTTGAATCAAGAAAATTAGTTGCGGTATTCTCTCCCTCTCTCTTACCCGTCTCCTCTTCTCTCTCTCTCTCTCTCTCTCTCTCTCTCTCTCTCTCTCTCTCTCCCCTTCCCTTTCTCTCTATGCATTTGTGAGAAAGCAAGAGAAAAGGATGGACAAGGATGGAAAGAGAAAAGCTTTATCATCTTGCCATTAAATAAGAATCTGTGACGCTCTAATTTCGCTCCTTCAACAACTCTCCCGTCGGGGAGCACTAATTCTTCCTTCGTTAGGAAAAGACATTAGTATCAGCGACAACCGTGCCCGTTGACGCTAGCAAGTTTCGAACGTCCCAAAGAAGCTCCGGCTGCGCCAACTTGGGTGTCCTTTTAAGCCGAAGTAAAGTGGCGAGTTCGACCCAGCCATCCTCGACACCCGCTCCTACCCTCTTTCGCTTATCCCACTCAAGTTGGAAAATAGAATCGAGAGATGCAACTCGGATGAAGAGGGGGACGAGACGGTGGCAGCGAAGAAGAGCAGACCTCTCGCAACAGCTGTCAGATACTCCCATGCATTTATCAAATAAAATCACTCCACCTTTTCGCTTTCCCGCTCGACTTCCGGTGCCATTCGCGACGGCAACTAAAATCGCACATACTCTTCTGCCCTTGTATCCTTGCACACAGTTTCGTTTCTCTCTAGAGAAGTGCGATCGCGTTTGCAGTAAACGCTTATAAATTCCAGGATGAACGTGGAGTGCTCTCCGTGTTGCCATCTCGACACGTGACGTTACCGGAATGAATACACCGTCGGTTAAACTCTTCTTAGTCGGCAAGTTCCGCGACCTCTTTGTCGAAATAATGTCCAGACGAGTCCTCACGTTCTGCGAATAACGTCACAACAACGGCATGCTCCGCGCGCCGGCTGACAGACTCATCCGCGCCGGTTTATCGCGAATCACGCGGTTGTTGCGCGAGCTGTGAATTTAAATTGAGAAGGAGAAACGCGCGTGAAAGACTGGCGTACAGTGTACTTCTCCTACGTGCGACTTCGCTCCAGCACGTACGCACTGTTTATGCGAAGAATCTCTTTAGTAGTTTGACCTTTCGTCGTGCGGCTCACGAGATCAGCTAAAGTTCCCGGCGCGTTGCCTCGTATATTACATTTTTTAAACGAACTGTCACGCGATAGTTTTGGAATTTTCCGTAAACTCCAAGAGCAGCAACTCGAATCTTGCTCGAGAATGAACGTGAGGAGATCCGATCGAAAAGCAGTGTATGTGCGCGCGCGCGCGCGTCGCCTTATGGCAGTTACAGACGGACAAATATTTCTTCTCGCACTAGGTCGGAGGAAGGTCGGCTTTCTCGCGCGAAAAACTTTTCCACTAAATAAAAACTCCAAATTTTGCTCCCCATAAGTTCCCCAACACGAGGAACTCTGTTTACGGAAATCTCGGCGCGAGGAGCGTAGGGGGTGCTGCTTTGTGCGACCGCGTACAACGCGGCCTCCTGCGCGAGTCCGGCATTAAAATTAATGGCTCGCCGCCGTTGCTCAGCAGGTGGTGTGATTTTAAACGTCACCTGACCTACCCTCCACCGTTGCCTTCGTTAATATTCAGTCTGATATCTAAAGCGCTTGATATCGCTCAGGGCAAAAATGAATACTCACGTTCGCATAATGTACACACTCGGTTAGGCAAAGAATTATATTTCTACGGCACGATCAACATTGATAGCGCGGAATAATAATCTCGTTCGCGTAAAGTTATAATATCATTTATTTGCCGCGAGATCCGCGAAATACTCGGGCTATCGAGTTTTACAAACTGGAATTTTAATATTTGTAGTTACCGCGGATGAAATTAAATATCTCCACGTCGGTGAAAAATCGATAAGCAGCCGAATCTCGTAATCCGGGATTTGTCTTTCCGCTTGACTATCACATTCCAACGCTCGCATATTTCATGATTTCCTGAAATTACTTTCCATATTTCCAATATTTTAACTCACTGCGCGTAACTTCAATCCCGGAAGAGGAATATCCTATTATTCTTGCGATTTTTAGATATAGCCGGCAGGAACTGACTGCAGCAAACGACTGCCATCTGCTTTGCATACGCCGTTGCGAACGTATGTATAAGATTTGCGGTGATCTGTTCGATATCGTACTACTTTGAATGTGGGACCGTTTGGTGCTCGTGCGATTTACATCATCCGAGAATTTCAAGAACCGTATAATTGCTGCTCTACGCGCTTTGTTGATTATGACGAGGTAGTGTGTGATGCAGAGAAAGATGATTTTTGTCCTTGCCACAAATAATTTAGAGCTTAATATTCGCATTCCGTGACTGGGAGAAAAAGAATCATAAAAACATTCCTCTTTAAAAAAAAATTTATATATGTATATATATGTAGTACTTCTTTAAATAATACGGCTTTGTAGCTTATCGCTCGTTTTCTTCATTACAGACGGAGTTGAAAATCTCGGTGTGCCATAGACAGCCATGTTGAGGACAGCGACGATGGAAGCTCTAGAAAATCTGTCGACTGTAGAGAAGACTTCTCTAGACTACGTTGACGAAGATGTTCTTGGATACTGCTACTGTTGCGAAGTAGACGTCGCTGCTCGCGACGAGGGAATGTATCTATCATGTTGCTGCCAGCGATGATTTCACCGTGTTCACCTTCTTCGGTTTCCTCCAGTGATGTCTCGTCGCTGTAGAGATCGAAGCAGCAAAGTCTGCTGTTGTATCATCTCCTCGTAGGCGGATTCGTGGCTTATTCTCTTTCCTGGCAGGCTGTCCTATCTAAAAAGTGAATCATTTCATGATCCAAGGAAAATAAGGCGTCCGAAAACACGAGCCGATAAGCGAGGAATTAAGTTCCGTCCGCCAAAAGCCGCCTTGAGAAATGCACTTGAGGATGGTCGCCTAGCGACGAGAGATTTCTTTCGTGGGAACGATTTGAGATCGTCTTCTGACAGAGGGAAGATTTTTCAAGTAGAGCTTCCGATTCTAAGGATCGTAACTGTTCAGACAAGCACGTTAACCAGCCAGAGAATAACCCTGGAGATGAGATTCCAATCGAGGAGCCAGTGTACCAGTGTCGCACGGAACCGTTAATTATATTCCTCTTTGAAACTTGTCTACTGTCTACTAATCTCTCGCGCACGGGGACGCCGCTACCTAGCGATGAACTATATTCGACCGGCTTGCTACGTCACTTGTGTTAAGGTGCTTTTCCGGTGTGTCTGTGACACAGCGCGTTTAGCCGGCGGTCGTTATTCGCCATATAATAATCTAAGCAGCGTTCTCCGTTAAGACTTTCATTCTTGTTAAATTTCCTCACGTCTGTTCAGTTGAGTCAAGTTGGAATTTTGTCACCGTTGTTTGTTCTGGTCGCTTCTGAATCGCTTCCCTACAAAATATACTGTCACTCTGTCGCGATAAGTCTCACCTGCGGAGTAACTTGCTTAACAACATACGCGAGGATTATGGAAATTTGAAAACTCTCTCGAGGCTTGCTACGTTATTTGAATAAATTCAAGGTTTAGAAAGTATTGATATTGCCGAAAGGTTGGATTTACTATTCTTAAGCAATGCAGTTCACTACAAAATTCAATGTCAATATGCGTGTCATGTCTGTGCATCGAGAAGTAGGGGGGAAAGAACTTTAGTTGCTCTTTCTCGATATAAATACGTTCTTCCATCTATTCTCAACGTCATTGGTACGACACGAAATGAATAATACATTCATATGAATAAATATAATTTCTTTGATTCTATTAAGTATTTAAGGGAAGAATTTCGTGAGTATTTGTTGCCTCTTTCCTTAGAAACAAAACTGAAAAAGTCTTGTAGTTTCCATTTCTCATTTTTTCTTTCGCGTCTTTGTTCATTTGTAATCAGAATTTCAGAGAGAGGGAAAGAGAGAAATAATTCACGATTATTTGCGTATTCATCGCGATAAATACACATTTCCGTCTTCATAAATTTAATTGTTACGTATTTACAAAGCGTTGTAACGTGCCAAATTTTTAATGCATTCGCAGCATTTTCCCGGAACCAATTTTAGCCGAGTCATCAATGTATCTTTGGTTTTTAGTCGAAATTCAGTTTCTTTGACCACGCCGAGGAGGCAGCCGAACGGAAGGAACGAATTCACGAATGGATACGATTTATTGCGCGTATTTACATAAACAGGAAACATGACACAAATGTGCCAGGCCGCGAAAAATTCGCAATTTATGCGACACGGTCGCTGTTCGCGCATTTGAGCCACTAAATGGAACGTTCGGGCGCACGTGGAGGGAACGGAATAATAAGCGGGAAAAAAGTTTCGGCTTGAAAGCTCCTGTGAAACGAGAATTATGTCGCAAGAAGAAGTATCTCTGCGAGTTATACGTTGCATGGCGGAAACGACGGTAGCAACGACGGTAGCGTGTGTCTCGCGTCAATGCACTAAATAATATACTCGCTCATAAAATGCCGAATGTTGAATCATGACGTTTCAAACAAATAAAAAGAAAAAGTGGAAAAAGGCGGAATAATAACAAAAGTTTTAACGATATAACAAAATATTACATAAGAAAGTAATATGCGAGGACAACTAACAAATAATCGTGTGTTTACAAAGTTGTACTTAAATCGCTTAAATTATTCTGAGCGCGAAAGACGGGGAACGAGTAAGTACTTATTGAAAATTTCCACATGAAAAATCTCCAAGCTACATCGAGCTCTTAGAGATATCCCCACAGTGATGTTTTTGAAAGCGTTTTCACGATATAGACGTTGCGCGCTGTATGCGAACACCAGTTTATGTTTATTTCCACATCGGATTCGCGGTCGTGCAGACCGAGTTTGTGAAATGCGCTTTTCAATTTTAATTCAACGTTTCGAAGATGACGGCCGTCGAGGCGTCAATCGCGTCCTTGGAACTTATTGCGGAATGTGTCTCTACCAAAGATCCATAAAAAAAATATTGAAATTCATCAACCGCGTGCGAGAAACGCTTATTTTACAGTCTGCGTTCCGTTTTCTCTCCCTCTCTCTTTCTTTTTTTTTTACGGGCAAATTTATTGAACGCGAAATTGAGGGGCTTCCGCCAGCTGTACGGTCGCCCGTGTATGCACTTTTACCTAGCCTTTCCGTATGCGTCATTTGTCGTCAAGTCGAGGGTCACGATTTAGCGTCGATCGCGACATATTGCAGCCTCCTCTATCTCGAGCAGGAATAAAATCCGGCCGCGTATGCCTTTTACAGCCGAATCATGCTTTATGGCGTTACTTTACGATCTACGATGTTATTTACACGTAAATCAAGTTTCATTCCCTCAATGTGTCTTTCAAACACGTTACATAATTGTACTCGTAATAATATGCACATGCCATGGCAATAAACAACATCCAAAAGAGCTGCTGTTCAATATATGTATAACAGAGTAGTTTATATTATATTTAATATACATGTAATAAAATATGTATAATATAGAATAATAAAATATAATAATAATAGAATGTGTATATGCAAAATAATAATAATGATTATATATATATATATATATATATATATATATATATATATATATAAAATATAGAAAAGAATAATAAATATTTTTGATAATATTGTTATATTGATGCAAGTACGCGTTATATAAGAATTACACAGTGACATAAATATTATATTAGTACTTTCTAAATACCCGAGTCGAAATTTTGATTTTATATTAATCCTGCAAATTCTATTGAATTTAAAAAGTCAATGAAAAACCTCAAAATATACTATAGAGATCATTATTCTATCTTGATGTTTAGAAACAGTTACTTAAAATAAAAGCATCAATTCCTGGACACGTGTCTAATCCTGAAAATTGTCATTGTATTGGTTTTTAAATATTCGTATTAGGTAAGCGTCCAGACAGTGGTACTTATATCTTACTGCAATTTTTTCACACTGTCTCCTGAAAGCTTATTTTAAAATTAATATTTGCTCATCTTACACGAAATTTTCTTCACTCATATTTAATTTTTATTCTTGATATCAGTTAGCAAATTATTTATAAATTAGTTACTTTGGCAAAAATATATAATTTGCTTAACTGTAAATAGAGTGTATGAAAGATAAGCAAATATTATATAATATAAATAAGAATTAGTAAAAGAAAAAAAAATATATTTTACTCTCATTATTTCTTAGTTTCTTTTTGCTTTCTTTGGTATTGGAAATTAATGAGATTTAAAATTTTTAAAAAAGCTGATAAGGAAACTGTGAAAGATAATAGTTATGTGCTCTATGATATTATGTGTAGTATGTTTATCAATTTAATTTAGATGTGTTTAGATTTAAGTTTAGATTCCACACAATACAAGATTAAATAAAAATAAAAATAAATTATTAGTATAGGTTGGCAACCAAAATATAGAAACATAAAGCATGTATGAGATTTATATTATTATATATTATATATTTTATATTCATAGTTGCAATTTGTTTACAATTTTTGGTAGAGACTTTACAAATTGTCATTCATAAACTGTTATGCAGCTATTTGAACCAATATTTCTTGTATGAAACAAGTACAGCGTAAGTGAATGAAAGAAGAAAGAGACAAAGAGAGATTAAGCGCAGGAATCCACAAAATCATAATTATTTATCAATAAATTTAACGGTTTTAACCAATATTTCTTGTATGAGACAAGTACAGTTTAAACGAATGAAAGAAAAAGAGAGATTAAGCAGGAATTCATAAAATCTCTCTCTCTCTCTCATAATTATTTATCAATAAATTCAGCTGTTTTAATCAATATTTCTTGTATGAAGTAAGTATAGCTTAATGTGAAAGAAAAAGAGAAAGAGAGAGATAAGCAGAAATTTATAAAAATATAATTATTTGTCAAATAAATACTAAGTAAATAACAAATACAACTATAAATACCAGCATAATTTCGACTCGGATATCTTTCTTTTGTATTGTCAAGTAACTGCTAAAAACGGAGATACTCAACATAATAAATGATTTGTCTGAGAATAAATGATGTACTGTTGAACGCATCCTGATTTTCAGCCGACCCACCACCCTGTTCTCGGTTGTTTCGTTGTGCTGTTTCGTCGTATATTCTCTCATAGCATTGTTTTTGGCACTAGCATTGACATTCGCGTATGATTCTATCGGAAAAACGTATATTAATTAGCGCGATGTCGACAAGAGTTCAAGTATCTTTCGCCCGGGACGCGCGTCGTACTTTTCGCGGGAACATTACGCATCAAAATGATTGAAAACTCTTTCAATCCTCTCTGATTGTCATCTCATTTCTAATTCCCGTTCAATAAATCTGACGATCGTCCGATTCTATTACTATCTGAGCGAGTCGATTATTAGCATAAGGGACGTCAACACGACACGTCGCGACAACCACTGGCCGCATGTACCGTGAAGAGAAACGAGAAGATTACTTACAAATGACGTCTTCACGATATGCCCCGGCAATCGCACATCATTATTCTCGACACTCCCGAGACTTATTAACGCGCGAGACTCACTTCGACGTATAAAAGACGCGAGAAATGCGGATCGATGTGGATCGATGTGTGTTCATGGCTGCTTGGCGCGAAAAGATCGAGCATTTCGCGCGATTCATTACCAACTCCTAGATTGAATAATCACGATGACAACCTCGTAATGCGAAACGAACGCGATTGGTCTAGAGTGGTTAGTAACTCGAGCAAGTGATTAAGGCGTATAGATCGCGTCGTTGTAGACGCGCGACCTCGTTTGCATCACTGGCGCGTTCACATTCATGCATTTTTGGCACTTTCGACACGCTAATGAACTTTTGGTGTACGTGATTGACAGCGTTAGTTTGGTCCACTTAATGCTCGCAACGCCGCGAACGTCATTCTATCTTTGTTGCTCAAGACGTTGCGAGTGTTAAGTGAACCAAATCAACCAACCAAACGGATCGGATGCTTTCCAATTGCTTGACACATCTTAGGTCTGTTCTTTGTAGCTGCACTGCTGAATTGGTGCAATATATTGAAGTGAGACAAATATATGTTTTCTCACTCTAACTTATTGCACTAGTTCAGTAGTGCAGCTATAAAGAACAGGCCTCTTGACACACACGTACACAAAACCAGTTTATTGGTCACATATTATTTAAAATATCTTGTAAGATAATATGCAACCAATAAACTGGTTTTGTGTAACACAGTGTACGCAACTGGAAAGCACCCATTGTGGTTTGGGATTTAAGCAAGATTGTGGACAAGGAGTGACTTTGTTATCGTTCGTCAATGAATAACCCCGCATGCTTCGCGACATCGCTTATATAGGCGAAGATATCTGTTTATAAATATAGAATCTTATAACGTGTAAACATATCTTTAGTACGCGACGGAAGTATTTCCCATAATATTCAGTGTCTATATAACGTGTCATTAGTTAATGTCGCGTTTCCGATTGACTCGCGCTACTTTCCAGATAGACCAATCAATTGCTAGATTGCAAGGCGGATACGAATGTCGGATCTTCGTATCAAAAGACTCTACCGTGCGACTTGCGTATCTAGAGATTCTACTTACCAATCCTCGGCTCGGTCATTTATCATCGTTCCCGAAGCCCGCCAAAAGTACGCCTGTTGTCGCACGCAAAGTAATCGGGTTTTCGTCAGCATTATAGTAAGTAATATTTGTCTCTTCGATCGAATTGTGTTCGCGCGAGCGTCGGCGTCATTATCAATGCTACGAATAAGCATTCTGAACGACGGAGTAGTCGGGAATAGGATATTGAATTGGTAGCAAGACCGTCAGCGCGGGGGGTGCGGAACGCGCGGGGTAACGTTAACGGTTCATCATGTATTTTCGGGCGGGCAAAATCAGTATTCTTTCGTAATTATATGTCCGATCTTGACGAACTCATCGAAAGTGATGTTATGTGTTTCGATATTCATTGCTAATACTAAAATGTCTGTGATATATGTTATGTATGTTAATATGGGCGCGTTCCACTTAACGCTCGCAACGACTCTCGTGTCGTTGCGAGTTTTAAGTGGAACGTACCATATATACTTTCTGGCAATGAATAGAACGCAGTTTCAGACTTGATTGAATCATATTCGTGCGAGCCAGTATTGTTCAGTGCAAACGCGATAAACGAGTATTTTGAGTAACAAAGCTGGTGGTAGCAGAATGCTGTATCGATGGGAAGCAGAAACGGAAAAGAGGGGAATGCTGGTTACGATCTATCATATATTTTTCTGAGGTATGAAGTCAATATTATTATAAATGTTATTTCTGATCTTGACAGACGTTTGACGAATTTATTGAAAGTAAGGTTAGTCGAGTCGAAATTTGGGATCTATTTTTAACTTCCAGGTTTGATCAAATCGTGATGCGAGTATCAATATCAATATTAACAACCTAAACTAGTACTCTGAACGATAAAGTAACTGGAATGAGCTGCTAGTTCGATGAGAGGCAAGAACAAAGAATATGAGATGCCAGGCTGCTGGTCACAATTCATTAGACATTTTCTAGTATGTAAAATCAATATAATTTAATAATTGTTATGGTCATTACACATAATGTACATGATAATGAATATTTTGTATTTGTGTGGAAATTGATTTGTGTAGAAAACTTTTGGTGATAAATTTTTAACATCTGTTTTTTAATACATTCAGCACCAAGATTTATTTAAAGAATTCTCTATGTAGACCATATCACATTTGTTTTCATGTAATTGTTAAAACAAACTTTGTTTATATGTAAATATACAAAAAAGGTTAATGTGTCATATGTGAAGCTAATAGCAAACATGTTAAATTAACATGTTATTATTATAGTGTTATTTGAACTATTCAATATTGAGTTCATATTTACTATTTTGAAGTGTTAAAATAAGATTATAACAAGTTCAAGTATTATATTTTTATTAATTTTTGACATATTATTCATGTTATTTGTTTACATATTTGTCTTGTGTTAAATTAACACAAAGTTTTTTAAAGTATATCTGATTTTACATTTAACAGACTTTTGATGAGCTCATTGAATGTAAAGTTATTCGAGTCGAAATTTGAAACCTCAAATATGTCTAATTTTCAGAATTGCATCGTGCTCGTGCTAATGACATGAACAAGTATCCTGTACAAAGTCACTGAGACCAGAATGCTAGATCAATAAGATCACTAATAACGACTCATCATATATTCTTGGGTATGTGACATCAGTTATTTAATAGTTATTACACAGATGCCTGATCTTAACAAATGTTTGACGAACTCATTGAAAATATGATCATTCGAGTTGAAATTTGGAATCTAACATGTTTCTAATATTGAAATGATTAAGTTAAGTAATTCTTAAAGGGATGCTGGAGTCGATGACGAACTCGAACAATGTCAATAATGCAGAAATGATCGTTACTAACATAATCACGCTATCCTTTTCGTATTTCATATATACAGAATTTACATGAATGTGTGTTGCTTTGTTTTACCATATTCAACGAAAAACTTAACTATATATGAAACTTTTTCTGCAAATTTTTTCGATATTCTTAAGCTTTCAAATGCAGATGCGAAGATAGAGCAATGTTCTTCAAAATTTTTCTGTTTGGAACATCTATACTTTCGGTATGTACAAGCTGCGAAACTTTTGGATTAGGCAAATATAACGCTGACAGTTTGAGATTTTATATTAAAAATTTTTTGTTCGTTTTCGTCATATATCAAGCAATGCTCGTATTTATTTTTCCACGTATTTTCGTTGCGTAAAAGCATTTATAATTCTGTGTAACCAATACGACGTAAACTTTGCAGAAAAATGTTGTCAATGTTCTGTCGGTAAAGTTTTCAGCTTCAGCATCCCCTTAAATGAATGCCATTTTAAGACGCAAACAATAGAAAAATAGAATCAATAGCCATTTGTAGCATTAGAATTGTGTTTTGGTACTCGCCGTTGGCGAAATGCGACAACTAATTTCGCACGAAGATTGCTGCTTGCGTAGCGCGTGAGAGAGACGTAGACTACTCTTCCGTACGTTCTATGCTCTGGCAATGACACGTAATTTCCGGACACCCAGAAAATTCACGCGTTTGATCTCAGATATGGTGTATGGCTCTGATGAAATATTAGAAATACGTAATCCGTGTTTCGCGCCTACTGATGGAATGTCATTCGATTGGCTGCCGTCTCAGGCAGCCTGCGAGATATTTCTCGGAAAATAATCTTTTCGTCGATATCAACAATATCGATATAAAATATTTTTCGAATTGGATGATGAATTATAGTTGGCAATGATAATTCAAATAACGTAATATACACTGAGAGAAAAATATTGGGTATTTGAAACTATAATCATATAAAGAAATAATTATTATAAATTATGGTCAAGACAACCATTTTTTAATCAATTGCACTATAATTTTAATGATAATAACCAAATTGGGCCCAACTATATTTTTTGGTTGTTCCAACACGAAGATAGTAGCAGTAACATGCATATAAAATTATTACTAAAATTATAGTGTAATTGACTAAAAAATGGTTGTCTTGACCATAATTTATAGTTATTATTTCTTTATATAATTATAGTTATAAATATCAAACATTTTCCTCTCAGTGTAATCTTATCGTGAATAAGGGTATTATCTTGAAATATCATGTAAATGTTTTACAATTACACGCTGACAATGTGCCGTTTTTTAAGCAACAGATACATAATCGAGGTGCCGTGGCCACAAATTAAATTTTATCGAAGCAATTAGTGAGTTAAATATTAAGTCGGTTTAAGAGATGGAAACACGATAAAACGACTCTCTGAGCAAGTGCCACTCCAGTTGCCAACGTAGCAGGGCGCGTACAACGGTGTAGTTAATAGACTCATAACGGCCTCTGCAAATTGTAGCAATTAAAGCACATGGAGTTAATGCGTTACGAAAAGGATGGCAAAAATGTATTCATTACTCTTAAACTTCAGTCGACTCTCTGTCCCGGAAAAATCGCCAACAGTAAAATAATGAATAAAATTTTCAAGTCGACGCAAATAATATTTTTATATGTCGGTCATAAATGAAGTTTTTAGTTTTTAATTTATCTCTGGTGTATCAGTTTTCCAGTTGCAAGAAATGGATATATCTAAAGTTACAATTGAAACTTTCAGATAATTATTTCTCATTATTAAATATCGAGTATTATAATAATTGGAACAAAATAATCTGATAAATGGAAATATCAATGATGTTAACAAATTGACTCAGTTTTGTTTAACATCTCAGACACTAAATTTTGTGCATATCTAAACGAATCGTGATACAAAAGCGCAACTTAAAATCCTTGCATTTAATGGGTGCCAGGTGAGTTTATTGATGCGTTCCACGACGGTAGAAAGACTATGATAGATTCACAACATGGACGTTGTCTTGCTTTTTAAGCGACGCTATAGCGTGTACAAAAACAATTGGGTGACGACGGAAAGAAATCGACTGCTATCTTTCGCGAGCTACTTAACGTTGCTTAAAAAGGCGCAGTCATTTAATTTGTAGTTTCTCGACATTCCACGAGGAAAGTTTCCTCGGCTGATTAATTTCCCTCTTCCGGT